AACAGAGAGTTGGCTTACATCGACTCGCCGCGAGTTAACCAAACGTGAAACGTCTCCCCATCCCCTCCGTCTCTTTTTCTCTCTCTCGTAACCGCTCAACGTAACAGCCGTAACTAGTACCATTGCCAACGAAAGCTGTCGTGGAAAGTAAAAGCGGATGAGCCACTTTTCGCGCGTCACGAGTCTGCCGAGTTGCTGGCTGCTGACTAACCTAAGAAAAGACAGAGAGCCACAGTGGAGGAAAGAGAAGGAAAGAACTTTCGCCCCATTCATCGATTTAGCGTCTACTAGAACATAGACTGCCTCTCAATCGGCTCTTGAACCGATACTACTGGATTATTATTAAGATGTACGGTGCGCGTTTTCTACACGCGATATAAATACGCGTAAATCACGAGCCAGCCGCATCTAACCGAGGCGGCCGCCGTCAGCGTTGTCACGTGCGAATAATAAGTACACTGCGCATGCGCGTCTCACGAGCGCCACTATCGGCAAATGAGTTTCGCGCGCTTTCCGTAAGTACGAGTTCATTCGGCGACGAACACGTTCCGTTTACATTCGTTGGTTGGATTCTCGTAGTTTAGTGAAAAATGTACGATCTCGTTCCATGTGGAAAGGTTGGAGGGTTGTTTGAATGATGTTGCAGATGCAACTCCATTTTTGTTTTCATATTCACTCGTCGTATTAGAGCGGAGAATGTCACATCGCAGTGGTATCGTTAATCGTTTCATTTTTTATTCTTTTTTATTTTTATTTATTTTTTTTTTGTTTTTTTTTTTTATATTAATCATCGATAACGAAACAATATGTTTTCCCACACCATATTGTCTACCATATCGTTACGTTACTCTCTAGAAATATTCGTACGTCAAATTCCAGGGAGAAATATTCTCACAGCTCTGCCTCATCCGAGCACTGTTCGGCTTGGACAGATTATTTTCCCCGGGAAATTACCGGTCATTACAGTCGCCGATCATTATTATTGGCCTTACCACTGGAAGACCCAGGTCTCTCGTGTACTCGATTCGCTCTTCAACCTTGAGCGTTATCCTGTTTACAAACGACACGTACTCCTGGAGGAGAGGAAGATCTTGCTCGCGAGACCGATTTCAGCCTCCCCGCGTTTCTTCAAGCAGGGACGATCGTGCTTTCGTCATAATGGTCACGCTCGTTCCGCGTGGATCGTGAATTTTTAATCACGAGCGAGCGATTTTTCGGTCAAGGTCGCCGATGTCCTTGGCTTTTCTTAATCGTGATTGGTGGTTAAAAAAAGAGAAAAAGAAAGGAAGAAGAAGAAGAAGAAAAAGAAAAGAGAGACGAGTTGCAGCCCAAGGTGCACAATCAATGCCCGATCTGGCGGACAGATACATAAATTGCGTGCACGGTAACTCGCGAGCCAAACTCGCAACATGAACTAAATACATAAGTATGATTCGCTTGTTAACGAAGCATAATAAACGGCAATGAGTACCTTTATCGTCCGGCGAAGAACGCGAACTTTCACATTTCATCGGGCATCGTTGGCGTTCGAAACAATCGCGTCTTTGTAAGATTGTCGCGTGCGCGTGTTGACTCAGTCGAGCTTCGAGTTACAGAGACTTGGTTTTATCTTTTTCGAATTTAGTCTGTCTCGAGAGTAACAGAAGAGGCTGATATTTAGCCAAAGAAAGACACTTGGAAAACATTTGTACAGGGATTAGTGATTTTGGAGTTACACAAGAAAGGCACGATAAGACCATCCTTGTTGATTTTCTGATTCAAAAATACGTATAATTTGTAACTTTTAATTTTTTTTTTTTTTTTTATTGTAAATAACACCATCGGTATCACTTGTAAAAAACTGGAACATCCGAAATAAAAATTTCCTACCAATTTACAAATAGCAAAACATCGTCCAAAATAGCACCTTAAATAAGAAACACCTTGTATAAAAATTGATACAAACTTCACTTGAAAACGAGAATAGCCGGTGTACGTTGTTATAGAACAACGACGAATTCATAACACTCGAATATTTCAGCAGCCTTATCAAACAGTTAGCGAATATCACTTAGTCTAATGACAGCGGCAGAAAATATCGGTAGTAATAATTTTAATCTATTGTCGCAAATCGCTCTCGCGATAACTGCACGAGAATATTTTAAAAGTAACAAAACGTTCAGATATTTGCTTATCATCGCATACGATTCGATAAAAAAAAAAAAAAAAAACTTACACGTTACAACATACCGAAGAAGAAACGGATATGAGCACGTTATCTGAAAGTGTTACGTATAAGAGACGACGGAAGAGATCGGAAGAGCTCGATTTACGAATCGTGTAAATTATTTTCTTATCTTCGTCCGGAGTATCGAAACTTTTTTTCTACACTAACCCAGGAACTGAACTTATATTTTCATCGTATAAATCGAAATCGTTATAAACAAATTATTCGATAGTTTTGTTGACGGTGTATCGTCCAGTAGTGAAACAATAAGTAGACAAAATGAAACTTGCAAAATGTGGATCGTGTAACTTTCAAGTTATATTTATATTTTAAGAACAACGAAGGGCCTCAATTCCCCCATTTCGAGATACTTTTCATGCCTTGTTTCTCAGAGCATCTTCGGAAACAACGGAAGCCTTTCTCTGCAGTAGCCGTTTTTCTGCCGGTCGTTCTTCACGGGTGAGATGCGTTGAGATTTTCGGTTCAAACCGGTCGTCCTAGTCGTCTCGGGACCAAAATTTTACTGCTGCCTTTCTTCTGATAGCAACAACAATGACATGTCGAAGAGCAACAACTGAAAATACTGTGACAAATCCGGTGATTCTCTCGGCAAAATGCAAACACCCCTTGACCGATTGTCATCGAGGCCAGGGACCATCCATTGCAAATTGTACAAAATAACTTTCAACAATATTTCCAAATATTTACATTTATCCGTAATTTAGGATCCCTGGCAAGAAAGTGGCAACACTCCTGGCGAGGCAGCACTTCCTCTGACAATGTTCATAATGGACGAACAAGATTGAATAATGTTCGTAACAGAATGTAATCTGTTTCGAGTATCTCGTTTGAGAAGAAGATCTCCGATCAGGTAGTGAGGCAGCATCTTTGAAATCTCGTCTTTTCGTAGAAAACGCAGTTCTGTCATTTTGTTGACTTAGGACGATAGTTGAAATTAAATTACGGTCCATATAGACGAAAGTGCTGGAAGGTACAAACTTAATTCAATGAAAACGACGGAAAATTAGAAAGAGGAAGATGAAACCCTCTGATGAAAATTTGCAAAGTACATGAATTTTGTAATATAATGGAGCCTGTGACGTAATACATATTATTATAAATTGGGCAATGTCGATTTATTCCTCAACTTCTATAAATCTTCTCCGAGACTCACAGTTCCAACTCCATTTCTACTCTTCTTTTTTACTATTAATGTACGTAACAGGAACAAGTGCGTTACGTAATAATGTAATAAACGTCAGTGGTCCATGGAAAACTCGCATTTCGTGTGAATTCACTTTGCAAAAATTTTGACAGTGTCGATATCTCGAGAATAGCCTGAATGGAGTCTATCTTATAACTCAAATGGAATCAATTCTACGTATGTTTGTAGGATATTTTCCGTTTCTTTTCGTCTTTTCATTTCCACGTCGTTCCTCTTCTAAAAGAAAGCCGTAGTACAAACGGAAGTACGGTGATCGAGCGCGTCTCACGGACGTTCTTCTTCCTCGAACAGGGTAATTTTCCGTGACAGCAAAACCGTGCCGAATCTCCTCGCGTTTTTCATCCGGATTCGTTGGTTTGCTGGTCCTTCGTTCACGGCTCCGAGGTCCATTTCAAATTCTACGGTGTGTCCCAGTTGCAAGGTAATAAAAATGGGTGGCGACAGGCAACGAGGGGGATATACATGGCCACACACGGATGCATGCGTGCCACGCTACATCCTTGCAACTTCACACAGAAACTGGTCTACGCGTCCTTTGAACCACATAGACGGATATCTGCACGTGCGCAAGCGCAACTTTGCATCTTCGTTACCGACACGATACGGTGTGTACGTTTCGTACGCGCGTCGTGTAACACACACACACACACACACACACACACACACAC